CTCTAAAGTAGATAAAGTTTCATTTCTCATTTTTTGAAAAAGAAAAAAGAGAATGTTCTTTTGAAATATGTTTGTATGTAATGAAGGAAAAAATAAAGAGCAAATTGTATGAAATAGCAAATTATTAATTTAAATTAAATGCTATAGCCATAGTTTGTTTTAATTGTAATTCGCAGCAAACATCCCTTTTTTGTGCCATCTGATTCGATATACAATTAGTCATTTTCGGAATACAATTAGCCATTTTATACATTTCGGTATAAAATGTATAAAATGCGTTTGTGTTTGTATAAAGCGAGAGAAAAGTGTATATACAAATACAAATACATATATATTCGTCCTATACACTTATAATTATACAAATATAGATCTTATTATACAAATTACAATGTATAAATGAATTTATACAAAACTGAATAATTTGTATAAAATTGAATGTTTGTAGCGAATTATACAAATCAAAAAGCTCCATAGCAAACATAAAAATTTGTTATGGAGCGCAATTATGCAAACTATAGCTATAACATACAAATATGATTTTTATATTTGCTATATGTGAAAGTTGCTCAACCATAAATAACATTAGGGGTTTGTCCACAATAAAGAAAAAGTTGAAGCAATAATTGTCGAAGGAAGTTTGAAGTTTTGTTTTCTCCCAAATGTGTTCTAGACATTTGGTCTTATTGTCTTACAAGACATGGTTGAAGTTATACCTTTTTGAAAAAAGTAAAAAGTGTGTGATTTGGTTTCCTCAATAACTCCACCCAGTACTTTGGTTTCCTTGATAACTCCTCTCAAAATGTACATTTTTTTACCTTCTCTTACAAGCATTTAAATATTAAAACAAACAAATAAAAAAGTAAATTTAAAATTAATTCATTAAAATCTGTTATCACTCGTAATTAATTTGTTATATTACAAATTACTAATTAGTAGATATATAAAATGTAATATGAGGTCTTAAATATATATGTGGATTAATTATTTCATTTAATAAAAATGTTTTTTTTTTATATTTTGTTAGTGTATCTCCAAGTGTCCTAATTGTCCATTAAAATTCACAACTTGACTTACTTCCTCATCATAATTTTGTGTGATACAGCCTGATTAGACATGTAAGAAATATTTCTTCCTCTTTTTTTTTTTTCTTTCTGTTTTGAAACAAAGAATTGTGATTTTAAATATGAAAATTTATTATGAGGCTATAAAAACTTGTAATCATATTTGAAAAAAGTATCATTCTTTTTAAAAGCATATTAGAAAAGAACAAGGTCACATAATCGGGTGATTTAATAGTCTATCACAAATGTTATTTTAGTTATAACTATTGTGAACTTGCCAAACTTCAAAAATCATGACTTCAAACTCAAAATTTTATGTTTTTACTTCAAAATTTAAATGCTTTTCCTGTCAAACTTCTTTGCTTATTTTGAAAAGTGTTTTTCGAATGTATTTTTTATTTATGAGAAGCAGTTTGTGTTTGACTTATCTAATTAAAAAGTACTTTTGAATAATAATAAGTGTTTGAAAATCTTTTAAAAAAAATTCTAAGTATATTTTCTCAAAAGTATTTTCCGAAAAAGTAATTTTTGGGGAAAAAATGTTTTTTCTAGCTTTTGAAAAATAGCGAGTCGTTTGCACTTTTGCCTTTAATTTGTGTTAGTCTTTAATTTTTGCCTCTCATAACAAATAATTTTTTTGGCAGGGAATAAATTTATATTCTCATGTGATAATATTTCACAAGTTATGCCTAGTTATGTCTTCAATTTCCAAAAAACTTATGCTTCAGTAGGCATAAATTTGCTTGCTAATGGGCAAGATTAAAAACCAATTCATTTGAATGACAAAAAATAAAGACTAGTCCATTAAAGGGAAAATGTACAATTTTATTAAAAACTCTGCTACTTTTTAAAAATATTTATTTTCTCCCAAAAGCATAATCAAACACCTCAAATTTTAAACATAAATAATTATTGAAAATAAATAAATAAGCATCTTTTTCCTCTAAAAAATTTGGCCAAACATACTTACAAATGAAAATGACTATTTAATTTTGAAAGTTCATTTGATCAAAATTGAACTTGATATCAAAGAAAAAGCTACACACCAATGGGTACAAGGAAACTTACCCTAAACAAACACATATGTTCTTAAACTTAAAATATTTAACAAATTCTTCAAGGTAAAAAAAACTTCAAGAAATAGAGTTCCAAAGATCATAACACTAGTACTCAGTATGTGATTACTCTTCTTTTTGCCTTATGCTTCTTCTCCAAATTCCCCAATTGAATTTAATGATCTTCACATTTGATCCAAGTTTGTATGTTTATTCTATATCTTTTTCTCAAGTGTTCCTGTATATATCCTGTTGGCAATTGTTTACTATTCCTCTTATATGAAACTTCAACCTCTGATTTAATTAAATATATTGGTGAAAATTACAGGATTACAAATTACAATTGAAAATAAAAATGAAGAAATTAATTATCTTCAGGTTGAGACACAGATATCTCGCCCTCTTTAAGGAGATTCAAGCCTATTAAGACAAATCTTTTCACCAGTCCAACACTAGTTTTCTTGACTTGTTCCCTCCAGAATATATCAACCCAATCACAAAGTTTAACTCAACAAACTCTGGATAAGAGTTGAATCCAAAGCTTCACAAAAAGAGCATCTCCCTTCAACTAGTAGGAACTCTCTTTTTTAGTAACTTTTATGACTCTATTTTCGTGTACTCAAAACAAATTAAAGGAAAACCATTACTATATATAGGTGAGGAATTCTTCCTTACGATGAATAGGAAGATAATGGAGTAGTAAATAGGTAGATAAATGTCCAGAAAGGGAGCGATAAGCTTTCTATATTTACTAAGGCAATAACATGGATTCTCAAATAAATAGAAGTAGAAGATGAGTTTACCAAGGGAATGATTTTCCTCGATCTTGTTGAGTTCAGGCTTCAAGATGTCATCAGCAAGATCATTCGATTCACCAACAACAAAAGTTGTGGGGATAGTCAGATATACGAAGGGCCTGTGGATTTGAATATAATATGAAAATCATGGAGCGCCTCTGTTTGCATAAAACATAATATATGCCTACTCTACCAAAACATCTTCTTGAACAAAAATAATCTATGACAAAATCAAATAAAATATCAAGTTAGTTTTCATAGGTTGATTTGATTTTGTCAACCTATGACGACTAACTTGATATTTTATTTGATTTTTTCATAGATTGTTTTCGTTCAAGAAGATGTTTTTTTGGCAGAGCAGGCATATATTATGATTTATGCAAAGAGAGGTACTCCGTGATTTTAAGATTATATTAAAATTCACAGGCCCTTTCTGGCTATCCCCACAACTTATGTTGTTGGTGAATCAAATGATTCTGCAGATGAGACATCTATGAAGCCTGAACTCAACAAGATAGGATAATGATTCCCCTGGTAAACTCATCTTCTAATTCTATTTATTCGAGAATCCATGTTATCGCCTTACTAATGATAGAAAGCTTATCGCTCCCCTTTTGGCCATAAGTCAATGGCCACTAACATCTACAAAGTAATGCAGTAGTAAAGAGCAAAATGAAATTCTCTAAAAGTCCTCAATGGACAGAAATAAAAATTGCAGATTTTAATTAAAAATGTGTGTATTGATTAAATTGTTGAGATCTTAGATTTGCGATGTAAAATGTTGTTGAAAATTTTGCTAAATCTAGAAGGAATTACACTTCATGAACAGACCAAAAAAAATGTAAAGAACACCTAAAATTGGGATAAATAGAGTATTGTTAATCAAGTAATATCACATTTTGAGTCTTAAAGTTATGTGGGATTAATAAAAAATAGTGTGTATTGATTAAATTGTTGAGATCTTAGATTTGCGATGTAAAATGTTGTTGAAAATTTTGCTAAATCTAGAAGGAATTACACTTCATGAACAGACCAAAAAAAATGTAAAGAACACCTAAAATTGGGATAAATAGAGTATTGTTAATCAAGTAATATCACATTTTGAGTCTTAAAGTTATGTGGGATTAATAAAAAATAGTGTGTATTGATTAAATTGTTGAGATCTTAGATTTGCGATGTAAAATGTTGTTGAAAATTTTGCTAAATCTAGAAGGAATTACACTCATGAACAGACCAAAAAAAAGATGTAAGACACCTAAATTGGGATAAATAGAGTATTGTTTAATCAAGTAAATATCACATTTTGATCTTAAATTATGTGGGATTAATTAAAAAAATGTGTGTATTGATTAAATTGTTGAGATCTTAGATTTGCGATGTAGAATGTTGGAATTGAAAATTTTGCTAAATCTAGAAGGAATTACACTCATGAACAGACCAAAAAAAATGTAAGACACCTAAATTGGGATAAATAGAGTATTGTTTAATCAAGTAAATATCACATTTTGATCTTAAATTCTGTGGGATTAATTAAAAAATGTGTGTATTG